GAATGCGTTTTAGAAAAAATATTTTTTTCTCAATTCGATGCTTGCAAGATGAAGGGCCGTAAGTACATATTATGTGTACTTAAGCCCCTTTGTCAAAATGCAAACGATGAGTCATACTACCTTTACAGTTTTTATTTAGGCCCGTATTTCTAAATACAACACTTGCAAATAATGATGTTAAATTAATAGGTATTATTTGTTAGATTGTTTGCAAAACAATCTGGAATGAAAGTGGTTCCGCCGAAAATAAGCTTGGGAACTGCTGTTCTAGAGTGATTATGGAATACATCCATAATGTAGCAATGTTTAGTAGTAGTCTTTAAACGTTATTAGCTAGTTTTAGTATACCATATTCCTTGAGGAGACTGATCACAAATGTTATGCATAGATTTTTGCATTTTGTTATGTGAATGAGCATGTTTTGTGTTTTATTTTCATTTTGTTTGTTTCCCTGCACGTTGTTGCGTTTATGCTGCCGCCTCAGAAGTCCAGTTCATGGTAATGGTAAGTAATTTTATTGTTTTCATAGCTTTATGATTGCATGCATTTTGGTTTACAATTGTTATTGTTGTGCTTTGTGTTTGAGTGCTTAACATGCATGAATGTGTTGTGAGTTATTGTGTCTTAAGTTAATTGATGAAATAGTTCTGAACTTGTAAGTAATTAATTTTGGAGTAAATCTTACATTAATCTCTTACAGTTTGTCCTTAATATGATTGATCTTGTTATGAAGTTATACAAGCAATATTTAGATAAAACTGAGTCTGCCTCACAAAAATAGTTAATAACTTTTGCCTGTATCATTGATACCCGTAGTAAAATTACAATCAACTAACTAGCTCCAAACCTGACCTTTTTGATATATAAATGTCAACTTTTATTTGTATAAGCTTGGTCAGCAACTAACTATAATTACATGTAAGGATTATGGAAATTTGTATAAACCATCTGAACCTACAGTTATTTTATCTTAATTTGGGCAAGTGAGACTTAAAAATAACTAAATATTCTTGATGTTTAAATAAATAGAGTGGTGAACTAAAATGACGTTTACAAAAGGTAAGAAATGACAATGTTTGTTACTTAAACTGATAAACCTTTCAGTATTAAAATAGATGAATCTTTTATACTAGTACTCATGGAGATCAACATTATAGAGGTATAGACTTATCTATTGATGTACCTAACAAAATATATCATACATTTTATAATTCTCAGGTTTGGAAAAATGGCTGATCTTGAAAAGTTGACTACTTGAATCTGTAAAATTTGAATAAATTGTAAACTGTCATTAAATCTTTGCCACAATATCATAACATTTCTGTGCAGTTTTATTTATTTTAAAATAAGAAAAATAATAACTTACGAGGCTTGTTTTTTTAAGTAAGTACCGTTTTTTTTTTTTTTTTTCTCCGTTCCAGCACAGCGATTGGTATTTTCGACATTTGCGCTGTGTATGGGCATCTATTGGTAAGACCTAGCCGGAAATTTGAGAAAAATCGTCCGTGTTTACATCTGGTTTCGAGCATTCAAAATGGTGCCGCCAATTGAGACTGCCGCCGACTGTGAAGTATAAGCTGTAATTAGATTTTAAGTGCGAAAGGTAGAAGCTATTGAAAGCTATTGAATATCATCGATAGATTAGTGAAATGTATGGCGAGAACATTATTAGTGACGGGATGATACGCAAGTAGGTAAGGGAATTTTAAGACGGCCCCACCAACGTTCATGATGAGCAACGCACTGGGTACGGGGACAGTTATGCACTGGGCGGCGTCAATACTGTCCCCGTACCCAGTGCGTTGCTCATCATGAACGTTGGTGGGGCCGTCTTAAAATTTCCTTACCTACTTGCGTGCCATTATAGCACTCATAATGTTCTCGCCATACCCTAATCTGTCGATGATTTTCAATGGCTTTCACACCTTTAGCACTTAAAAATCTAATTACAGCGTGCACTTCACAGACGGCGGCAGTCTCAATTGGCGGCACCATTTTGAATGCTCAAAACCGGATGTAAAAACGGCCAATTTTTCTCAAATTTCCGGCTAGGTCTTACCAATAGATGCCCATACACAGCGCAAATGTCGAAAATGCCTATCGCTGTGCTGGAACGGAGAAATTTAAAAACGGTACTTACTTAAAAAACATGCCTCGTATATGGGTATTTTTTGTTTTGTAGTTGTTAATAATTTAATACATCTGTACAGTCTATTTATAATTTTTGTTTGTTTCTTATTATACTGTACTCTAAAAAATTAAAAGAAGGCATACTGTGCCGGAATAAGTGGCTGCGCTACTCTATCTCTCTCTCTTTTTTAAGCCGATTCTTTGTCTCACTCTCTCTCACTCAGCTGACTTGGCCGCACACTCGTGAAATTTTTTTTTGTCCTAGGACGCTAGGCACAAGCCTGGGATTGTTTTTCACATTACTTCAGGCTAGACCAAGGGGTTGTGGCATTATCACTTAGATAAAATCCATTGGTGACTTGGCGGGGATCGAACCCGGGACCTCAGGGACTGAAGTCCTGCGCTCTAACCACTACGCACACTCGCGATAGTAGCGACTTCGCTAACTAACGTTCACTGCAGGAACTATTCAAAATTCAAATTTTTCCAGACTGAATTGTTTACTAAGGCATTGCGCTTAGGGTTTGTATTCGTTGGTAATAGCGTACAGTGTTGTTATCCAATTTTTTCAGTTTGTAAATAAATAATGTTTCACAGCAATTCTGTGGAAACTCAACAGTTTCTTTTCCAAAGACTAACGCATATTTTTATCTTTATTCACATTAGCGGTGTTTTGCGGTGTTACGGTAGCTGTTCATAAAAGTTCTCAGCTATAAAAATTAATTCTATATAGCCTACTTTTAAATCTGTGTGTGGTGAAATGCAGTAGTAGATATGTTTTTTATCTAACAGTTCTTCACAATCAGTTTTATCAGTACGGTTTATCAGTTTCTCCTCCCATGTAGCTCTGATCACTCTGATTGCTGTGTAGCACATTTTAAATCAGACCAGTATTATTTTTATTCATATTCAAGTACATATTGGTTTCTTTTGCAAAGATAACCTCAGAAAGAGCAATGGCACTAGCACACATAAAACACATTTTGATCACCTCTGAACATAAATGCACAGCAAATGTGTTGCTGAGAATAATTTTGACCATTCACTTACATATGTTGTTTATTTTTAAATTCTTGTATAAAATTGTAAGTAATGAAGAATTATAAATCAAAACCAGTTGAAAATCCTCCAAAAAATTGTTTGTAGGAATGGTTTTGTTAAAGACATGTATCCATAGCTATTCAAACTACCAGTCTTTTCAATATTATGTACATTCCTCTAAACGGCAGAGCTAAAAAATGTTGTTGATTCATCATCTTTATATTTATGGGGTTTTTGTGAACATTATCAATCACAATAATTAGTTAAAGGCAAATCAGAACAAGTAGACGGATTAAATAAATCAATATAAGTCCACAATAATCCACAATATCCACAATAATCCTGTTTAAAAACGTAAACTTCCCATCAACAAAAACAGGCCTCAAACAAGGAAGGACGTCTTTTTCTGGATTCATACATAGCACAGTGTTTTAACTTCTAATTCTTATGTTGTTCTTATGTTGGCTTTATGTAAATAGTAGCACAAATGTTGGATTTAAAAAATGTCTAGTGGATAAAGGTGTATATATACAGTCTCAAATGCAGGCAGTGTTTCAGTAAGATAGTAGAGTTGTAATTTAGAAGGCATAGCCTAGTGGTTGGTTGAGAGGCGTTTTAGTAGGTGAAGCAGCTTTTTAAAATTCAGTGGGGTCTTTGTGTTTAATGAAATCTATAGCTTTCCTTCATTAGTTTCAGTCAGTTTTAAGACTGTAAGTCTTAAGGTCGATTCACACACATCAGTTACGTAACGTCACAGTCCAGTCACTTCAGGCACGTCACAGTTAACAAAAATATTCTTTAATGGATTTTCTATTGCGCTATCTACACTTATCCGTTGCTGTCCCGTCAGTCGCTCTACCGGCATCCGTCAGTTAATTTCAGATTTCTTTCCACCGATACTTTTGGATTGTTCGGACGCCTGACGGAACTGTTTGAGGTTAGAAAATAGTGTTATTGTTATTTAAATGGTTGTGTTTATATTGTGAGTACTGTTTGTAACAATCAACAAGATAGACAATGATAATTTGACAGAATATAGGTTTATAATTTAACATTTTTGACTGTAAATTACTGTAAATATTAGAGAGGGAAGACTGACTGAAACCAACTGACGGACAATTGACTGGGAAAATGCGGATGCAACTGAGACTGAACTGTAACTGGACTGTATCGGAACTGTGACTGAACTGATATGTGTGAATCGACCTTAAGGCTGCGTGCTTACTTTCAGAGCAATGAGTATTTTTAACTACAACATTATACTTCCTGAATTCACAATTCTATATGAATTTAATATTTAAAAGTCACTTATCAGTCAACAACCTGAAGAATTGGTAAGTCGGTAGCTCAGTCGGTAGCGTCGCGGACTTCGGGCCCAAGGCAGTAGTGTCGTGGGTTCGGATTCTGGTCACTGCCACTAACTTTTATCAGTACAGTTCACCTTTGTACTGTACCGGCTCACCCCTTGCTTTGCTGGATACGTTCCATGCACAGATCTGTAGGCCTAGTCTATGTGGACGGGTAAATGCAAGGTTAAAAGAGGCCGCCAACCTATTTAAAAAAATTTAGTCCAAAGTCGTATATTTAGGTAAATTAGGTATAATACATAAACTAGGTATATGTATATTAGGTAGGGGACTCAGACTACTGATAGTAGTCCGTGACGGAAATTGGACTTAACTGTTTCTTGAGAATCAGATCCACTTTTTCGTGTCAGACAAACTGAGCCCTGTGGTTGGTTGGCATGTAGATTCCTAAGTCAATATGTGGACTGTCAAAATCTGAATCTTTGTGTACCACTCTTTAGTTTAATTTCCTTCGTTCTACAGGAAAGACAGAGTTGGAACTGCCAGACACTCGCAAGAGGATGGGAGACAAGGCTTCTTTTGTCAATGTTTATCCGTTCATTTGGAACGACTTTGCTGAAAGCGGATACGTTACAGGTATATTGGGTTTACAAATCATGTATTAATAAGAGCAAAACCATCTAAATCTTGTATGTGACTTAATTACTAGGTGTAAATGGTTCATTTTAAAGTAGTTAGTTCTTTGTTTTATCAAGAGAGGTTAAATTTTGCATCCATAAATAGACTGTATTTCCACAGGCTTGTTTTACTACTAGCTACAAACAAACCTCTAGTGCCTGGTTAAGGATTTTTTTTTTCATAGCAGGATTACCTTTGTGAAAAAAGAGTCTATTACGGCCCAAGAACCTAACATCTAGTACAATAAGTAAACAATTCCAATGTCACTTACAGCATTTTCCACCATAGAAGGTTTGAGCTGATCACTAAACTTAGCGCAAAATGCTGGAATTTGTCAAGTATAGGCTAAATATGGCTAAAGGCTTGCTCAATATGGTTATAGTTACATCTTCAATAGTAAGAACTTGTGTATTTAAAAGATGTTGATAGTTACCACCACCAGTTGTTACAGTTTAATTCATATTTTAAATACTTGTTCAGAAATTTTAAATCAGTTTTGAGTTGTCTCGTAATTTTGAATGTTCTTGCAGCGTACATGGAAGATACACCCTCCAATGGGATCTGGACGTATCGACTGAAAGGTTTTGACTCTCAGCCCACCGATCATTACATGAGGACTTTCTTTGTTGAGGCGGAGGGCGACTACAGGAAACACAAGCCATATTGTATCGGCTCACTGCCCAGACACAAGGTTAGTATCATAGAAATTTGTATGCAGCCTTGTAATTTACCAAGTAGTATAGATGTGTTGAAACTAAAGCTCAAATTTAATTACTACCAAAACTTAGGAAACATCCTCTAATAGTTCTAGAACTACTTATCTTAAACATTTTTTCTATGGAACTACTATTGTTTTTTCATCCAACAATGGGGTTGATAGGGGCTCTTCATAAAAAAAATTCTCCTATTAGCTTACTACCAACCCTTAAATCATAGGTGAGCTATTGAAAAAAAAAAAACATTTTTGAAACCTAGTTTTTTACAGAATTGAGGGTAGTACCATTTTGTTTAGAGTTAAAAGGACCATAACAAATTAAAATCGTTAATCAAAGATTTTGTTATTATGGTCCTTATAACAAAATCACAATTAAAAAATTAAAATCTCCAATGAATAAACAAATCCTGAACATACGATGAGTTAGTACCCACATACCAAATTTCTTTAAAATCGGACTACAGGTGTAGCTCTGCACAACACATGCACACACAAACACAGATGTCACTTTGAAAACCACTTTTTTGGTTCAGGGGACCTGTAACGGATATTACCAACTCAAAACTCAAAAATGTTGATGAAAACAATACTTTCCTCATTATACTAGATTTAGGGGGGAAGTAAAATTTTATGGATAGGGACAACAGAACATTATAAAAATTTAACTATATAGTTAATGTTTGTTTTAGAAAAAGACAAGGTTTTGTAAATCCAAAGAGATGGAAATGTGTCTGAAGTTTGAAAACCCGGTTTACAAGTTATGCAAAGAAAATATTTTCTGTTACCAGATTATGATGGAGTACGCCAAAAACATGTTCGTGGTGTACAAGGACAGGCCCAAGTTTGTGTTTGGGTTCCACGGAGAGATTTCCCACGACAACTACAACCTGGTTGGAGCGGCAGACGAGGACTTGCTGGAGTGGCTGCAGTGGTTCAACAACAACGGACATCTCAACAACACCATGTTGATAGTCATGAGCGACCACGGCCACAGGTGACTGGGTGTATTTGTTCTAAAATATTATAAGAATAGAACGAGATGCTTAGGGCTTAGGTGCAATATTTTCTTAGGAGATATAACATTTCCAGATCATATGCAGGGATTTCTTGAAATAGTTTTATTCTACTGCCGACTTGAAGTATTTTATTATATTTCAATAACTCCTGAACAATGTTGCAAGTGACAAAAGTGAATATTTTCAGAAAATACAATATGTTTTGTCTGCGCCATTGCCAACAAAGCCAGTATTCCACAGCAATTGCTTGTGAGTGGATTCAACCTATGTATTTAAAAAAGGATACGGTATATCCCTTGCAGTAGAGGATGTAATTTGTGTCGTCGTTCTTTAAAAATCTCAATTTCACTAAATATGTTGTTTGGTAGATATTAATGTATTTAAAGTTTAAGACAATTTGAATTATGAGAGCAGTAAAACTTCAACATGCATGGATCGTCTAGGGGAAATTATTCATGATTGATATTTTATATAGTTATATTTTTAATGAAAGGTAGTAGTAACAAAATAATAAGATGAATACTTGCTATTTAAGAGTTTCATTCAATTACTTGAATATTTGCATGCTTTGTTTCTGATCGAAGGCCCGGAGGTTTTTTGCAAACTGAGGTTTTCAACTTGGCAATTTCAAAGTTTTTAATATTTTAAAGGAGGATGTTGAAGAGTTTCATTGCTGTTGTGAAGCTCTTTAAGGACTTTGAAAATCTGTAATAATTGATCATGAATGTACTGCACATGTCATCGAATCCCTGTGGAGCAATACAATTTCCACTGTAACTTGGTTCTATAGCACCTATAGTGCATATGTTTCCACCAGTGGTTTGCCGAGATTTGCAACACACGCAGGCTAGTTAGAATTCCCATGTAGTCATGCTTCCACTGTAACAAGTTTCTATATTATGTGTGTTTTCACAACAGGTTTGCCGAGATTCGTAACACACAACAGGGCAAGTTGGAGGAGCGACTGCCGTTCTTCTCGTTCGTCTTGCCGCCGTGGATGTCTCAGACACACCCTCGAGCGGTGGCGAACCTGCGAACCAATAAACACAGGCTGACCACGCCTTTTGACATCCACGCAACGTTGGCCAGCCTTCTACACTTCCCTCAGACCTCGACGCAGGGCGATCTCTCTCACCGCTCTCTCAGTCTGTTCCAAGAGGTACTTGATATTACTTTCATAGTTACCGAAGTGGCCACTCGTACTTGAGTTGGTGCTTGTCTTATCAACAAAGCTTCTCCAATATGTTATGTCCACAGCATCATCCTCATCAAGCATTAACTTCTGAAATATAACGATATAAGTAATTACCCAAATTAAATAGATAATTTTTAAGCTTAAATCATAGTATTAAATCATAATGTATTTTCAAATTGTTTGTACAGTATTTCCATTTATTTTACAAGCTGCAGTTTTAGAGTAAAAACACTATAGCAATCAAGGTTTTAGTATTCCCTAACCCTTGATCTGTTTCTTCAGGTTCCGCAAGAAAGGACGTGTGCAGACGCGTTCATAGAGCCACACTGGTGTGCCTGTCTGGAGTGGGAGAAAGTAGATCCTCAGAGTCACCTGGTTCACAGGGCTGCCACTACGTTTGTTGACTTTATCAACCAGTGAGTACCAACTAGGGGTGTGCGAATAGTGATTTTCAACCTCGAGCCGAGCCGAGCCGAGCTTTTTAAAAAATGTTCGAGCTCGAGCTTTTTCGAGCCGAGCTTTTCCTAGCGTAGGCCTAACCTTATCTTAATTATTAAACTTTTTTTTCTTAAAAAAGTGCATAATAATAATAATGTTCAGTCAATTTTTAAATAAACACAATGTTATTTTAATATGTTTAAAAACATTGAGAATTGTCAAGACATCAAATAGTAGATAATCACGATAAGAACTGAACTGAACTAAATGAAGATGCAATAAATAAAAGGATATCGATTGAAGGCCTGAAGAGATATGCAGTGCAGACTGAGACAATCAGATTGTCTTTCATGACAGAACAGCAACGCGACCTTGAATGACGACAAAACAACTAGCAAGTCGATTACATACATATGTATATTGTAACTACTATGAATATTTAATTCTATTTTGTATAAATAAATACAAAATAAATTTAAAAACACGTGATTATTCTTGTTGTTTTCCATGCACAAAATATTTTTGTTTAATGTAAAAATGGATTGTATGTTTAACAATAATTGCAGTCCATTATTGTTAAGCAGTATGGTCCCAAATTATTGTTTTTGATTTTAAAACATCACAGTTCATTTGACAAAATTATAGTTGAAGCAGCCCAATGGCTTGTGCAATAGTTTGTTTACAAGCTTTCTCCAGACCACGGGGGAGGGGTGGGTCTGATAAGCCGTCTATTGTTCACCCGCAAGAAGGTCCGACCCTCATTAGTGCCGCTCGGCTGCACTCAGTGGGGAACCCAATACAACAAATCAATCTTTTAAATGAATACAAATATTTGGTAATAATTGTTTTATTAATATTCACCTTGAAATTTCAATAAATTTGGTGTAAAATTTGACAAAATTCGGCCATTTTGACCGATTATTAATACAGTACCAAATACCAATAAAGTAGTACTTAATTGGTAGGTAAAAATTAACCGATTTTCGTCAAGTTTTACCCCATGCTATGTCACAAAAGCTGATAACGGCATGGGTGATTAGTAACCATGACAACATGTTGAATGCGTGATGAAGGGAAACCCAAGAAATAGAAGAACAAAGAGAAAGAATGACGTTGTTATCTTTACAGTACTGTAAATAAACTATTACAGCGCCCCTAGTATCAGGAGCGAGACAAGCACGAGTTGACTTTCATTTGACCATGGTAGTTCTTTTTTGCTTTATGCCTGTTCATTCCAGACGAATCTAATCGTAAAGCAAAACAGCCGATAACGACTAAACTAGTTATCAGTATTGCATCATACGGCTTCTTTGCCGTTTGCTGTTAGGTCGTTGGAAACGTATTGCTGTAATTTTGTCCTGGGAAACTAATGGTAGCTATGGAGATTTAGTTTTCTGTCCAAAACGTCAAAATATATTGTATATCCGAAAAAGTCGGATAAATAACGGATAGTGTCGGATATCGAATTTGGGCCCGGTTTTGATACGGATATCCGAACCGAATCCGACCCGATTTTTCGGATATCATATATTAAAAAATATATAATTGACATATAGAGGAAATAGACCAAAGCACTAGAATTAATAGAATAACACACAAAGTAAACAAGAAATGAAATGCAGAACACGATGATTTAACACTGTCACTCAATTTTGTCATCTAGAAGGGTCGGCGAACTAATCAATAAATAGCCAAAACCAGTTTCCTCCCCTTCACACAGTCTCACCGCCCCCTCCCCCCCCCCATCCGGGTGGCCCAACACTTTGTCCTTGAAACACCCTTGCGTCTGAAACAATAAACCCTTACACCCTCGTTGCTGTTTTGACAACAGGTTTATCAATGCGATCACTATTTTTACCAACCTTACTGCTTACTAGCCTACTAGTCCTGATAGAGCCACACCGGCGCCTGTCTGGAATTTACTTTTGCTGGAGTACTTTCTATTGGTTTAGCACACTGGATACTACATAGTCTGTCAGCTCCTCATACCTGCATATCTAATGTATCTCTATGCTACCCCTCATGTCTTGGTTATGGTACATATCCTGTGTCTGAGAGGAGTATCGCTTAATCCACACATTAGAGTCCCGCCATTCTGAACCTCACTGTTTTGAAATCCGCCTATTCCAAATCAAAGTTGAGAAATTATTATTTCTATTATTACGAAGCCAACATAAAATCGAGAACTTCTTCGGCAGTCACGGCAAATACAAGAACATCTTCTGCGGTCGTATTGACATTATCATGGCAGACGCTTTCTGTGATCTCTAAAAACAAAAGCTTGGTATGGTCACATCAAAATAGTAGCTATGTAAAAATCTTTAGAGGTTGAAATTGTGAACATCGTCCTCAATTGTGATGATCAAATACTACAGAAATAAGCATATTCCGAAGAGGGTTCTGTCCCAGTCAGATTGGAATAGCGGAACTCAAATGTATTTTATAGTTACAGTTCTGGTGGTTTTACTTTACGGTTATTTTTATGTTATGAGGTGATGGTTTCAAAATGGTATCAGTAAGGTGTTTTAACAAAAGACAAAGTCTGAAATATGTTTGGCAATAAAAACATTTTATTAGTTTAATGGCTTTAAACATGTCCACTGTGGTTCTATTGTTTTCCTTGTTCTCTGATGTTTTTGCCCATCCAACCTCCAACCTTGTTCCAGCTAGTTTATGTTGGTTACTCTAAACTCTATTGTATTATTAAACATAATAATTGTAGTTTCATGCTCTGTGCCATTAGTGTATGCCAGTATGCCTATTTGGTATAGATTTCTGGAGGAATAACAAATGTGTATTTGTGCAGATACAACGCGAAACACTCTACTCTGTGTTCACTGCTGAACCTGGAGGCGGTCCTCTGGTCGGCACGGCTGGTGCCATCTAGAGCTTTGCGCCGGTTTAAAGACGCAGCAGATCTGGATGGTTTTGTGCCCAACTTCTCCAGCAACACTCCGGTCACCATGGAAACCTATCAGATCAAACTGATCACACAACCCGGCAACGCGATATTCGAAGCTTCCATCTCACATCACCTTAAAGAAGATACATTTTCATTAAGGGTGAGTTGTTTGTGATTATCAAAATACATTCTTGGTCAGGTACATGTTATTGTATTTTATGTTAAACTAGAGGATAAAGAGATAGCTAGCTTAGCTTAGAAACAGTCTAGGTACGCCATAGCACACACTTACTTACTGCGGTGGCTCCACAAATCTCAGTAAATTCTTCGCCCTTCACCTCGTACACCAGCCTCCTCCACCCTACTGTGACTTCTGCCAAGTTGACGTTTGTACCCATCGTCCTGACGTCATTCAATTCTTGGTCAGTCCATCACAATTTCAGCCTTCCCAATGGACATTTACCTCAAGTTGTGGCTCTCCAAACTTCATACAGTCTTGTTCCTTTCTCTCTTCTTAACACATGCACTATCCAACTTAGCCTTCATGCTTCAACCAATGCAACAATATCTGGGTCAGTGTAATTCATTTTGCAATTTGTCCAAAACTCTTCGTCTACAATTAATTTACAAACTCCCACAAAGGTCGAAGTGTTGTGCGTTTTCTGTGTATTCTATGTTTTATATGGTTACCTGGGCTTTTTTAAGGTAAGCTAGCTGCTATAACTTTGTTCTAAAAAACCTGGCCTATAGCCTTAAACCGTAACTGACAATCGTTTGATTTGTTCTAGAACAAAGAATTAAATTCCTTAGACAAAGCTGGTTCTGATCAAGTAAATACACAAATAATTTTACTTGAACAAGGTGGGGAACATAAAATTTATTTTCCAGAATCACTGTAGCGTTCCTGTTTGTTAAGTATTTTATAGTTTATTTTTCTTCTAGTCTGCCTCCAACACATGTTTTTGGGTTTTTCAATATTTACATGTGATTATTGTTGTTTTTTAAAATAATATTCTAAATGTTCAAGAAATACATCTAAATTTTGTACTCAATCATTTTTACTTTCATTTTTTGGTGATTTTCTCTACAGTATTTAAGTATCTTAAATAGTTATAAGGATTTTCTCTCTCTTCAATACTAATAATTCATTTATTTAACCCTTTCGTTGCTAGAATATTTTTTTGTATTTTCCAAGAATTGCTAGAGTTATTTACTTATTTCGTCCGAAAAGTGCTAGGCTTGCCACGGGGGCAAAGTCTAGTGTGCGAGGAAAAAATCGGTAAAAATAAAATGTTTCATCTGAAAAGTGCTAAGGAACAATATATCGGGCCTCGATCATATGAGGAATCGAAAGAAACCAGTCGCTGTTTCAAAATTACAACCGAGTCAACCGATATGCTCATTTAAACTCACATGATTGAAAGTCGTGTCGGCATGATATATCGTTGCTTAGCGCTTTTGGATGAAACGTGAACAACACTCACGATATATCGTTCCATAGCAATTTTCTGGAAAAAGACGCACAATGATATATCGTTGCATAGCACTGAAAGGGTTAGCCTCAAGACAAGTAATCAAGATTAGAAAGAATTAATTCAAGGTAAAACTCTATTCCTATTCCATTACTCAAGCTTAAAGCTAAATTCTCTTCTCTCTAAATTTTCTAATTATTTCACTGTTGGTTGATGAAAATTAAAGAGTGGCCGTGGTTTAACAATAACAATGGGATGTTTGTATTGGGGGCTTGAACTTTATTTTGATCGATCGTACAAAAAAACCTTCATCTTGATGCAATAAATGCACACTTCCTGCTGAAATAAATTCGCCATTCCTAAGTAGTGTAGAAACACACCATCTTTGATTCCCAGCAACTGTACGTAAAGGCTGTATCTATATACCGGGTGTCCAAAACCACCCGTACACCCCTTTCAAAACGGTGAAAACCTTTTCTTACAAAAAAAAATAATACAGAACTAGCTAAATTGGGCACGGTCTACCAAATGGTGATAATTTCAAATCCAAAATCACACCGGAAGTGGTTTTTTCAGACCGGAAGTTGACTTTTTTAAATGTAAACTACCAATTTTAGTTACAGAATCGGATTCTACGTTGAAAAATACATAACTTTTGTCTAAAACATTTTTTGAAAAAACTTGTTTTCTACCTTTAATCCCCCATTAAAGTCAATAATTTTTGGTCATTCATGTGTCAAAGTTACTCGAAACAATAATAGAGAAAAACAAATAACAAAGATTACATAAAGACATATGATGAATAGAATCAGCTGTTCATTTTAAAAACCTTAGCAATTGAGTAACAGCTGGTCTACACATTGCTAAGTTTAATTTTTTTTTTAATTTTTTTTTACATTTGACCCCTTTAATGTAAAAACAAATGATTTATTTTTAAACTAAGCAATGTGAAGACCAGCTGTTACTCAATTGCTAAGGTGTTTACAATGAACAGCTGATTCTATTTATCACATGTCTTTATGCAATCTTTGTTATTTGTTTTTCTCTATTATTGTTTCGAGTAACTTTGACAGATGAATGACCAAAAATTAATTGACTTTAATTGGGCATTAGAGGTAGAAAAGAAGTTTTTTCAAAAAATGTTTTAGACAAAAGTTATGTATTTTTCAACGTAGAATCCGATTCTGTAACTAAAATTGGTAGTTTACATTTAAAAAAGTCAACTTCCGGTCTGAAAAAGCCACTTCCGGTGTGATTTTGGTTTTGAAATTATCACCATTTGGTATAACGTGCCCAATTTAGCTAGTTCTGTATTATTTTTTGTTTGTAAGAAATGGTTTCCATCGTTTTGAAAGGGGTGTACGGGTGGTTTTGGACACCCGGTATATAAAATCCAATGTATGTTTGTATGTTTGTTTGTTTGTTTGTCCTTTATGGACTCCGAAACCGCTCAACAGATTGTAATGAAACTTTCAGCCATTGTTAAGCATTATTCAAGGATGGTTTGTGTGAAGTTTGGTGCAGATCCGTCAAAAGGGCTCCGCCCCAGTGGCTCTGGAGTTTCCCATGTTATCCTTATGAGTACTCATATTTAAATGGAATTAAAGAATCTTAACAGCTGGTTCAACTAAACAATTTGATTCTGTGATGTTCAATAGCATTAAAAAGTTAATAAGCTTACCAACAGGGTGCAGCACTATTATTTTTTTTTTTTTTTATTTGTGACAACAGCTAATTTGCAACCAAAAGGTGAGTGACCGTAGCGAACGAACTTCAACACCAGGACGTGATTGAGCCATGCGAACGAACTCATCTTGAAAATGAACGAGCATTTGACATAAAACCACATTAGGACATGACGACGTCTGTCGGGCCAGCTAGTAGATAAAATTTATGTACAACTGACAATTTTTTGTTACAGATAGAAGACGTAAGTCGTATAAATATGTATGGCTCTGCTGCTGCTTGCATAGAGAACACTCAAGAACAATTACGTAAGTTTTGTCACTGTAAAACCAAAACTTAGACTGAACGAGGTACTTTCAACGCACATGGTGGGTGATAACTAATTGAAGTACAGTCGATGATAAGGACATCATTGGGTGATAATTTGTGATATCTAGACTGTTGAAAGGGTTTGTAATTTGTATTCTTCAAACATAATGTTCTTGTTTTGTTACTGTTTTTGTTGGAGAGGTTTCAGGGTGTTTTTGTTGCTTTTTGTTGTATTAGGCCCAGTTATAATTCTGTAAAACGCTGTTATCCTTAGTTGAATCGTCTTATGAATTTATTATTCTTACTAAATGTGTTTTGTATCGAATTTCATAATATTTTGTTATAGTTAGTCAATATGAACAGTATTTACTCAAATTGATCAATACAGTATCAAATGATGACTGATGTGTATTTTATGTGTGATATTATTGTAATTAGTTGTAAACTAATCAAAATATGAACTAAGCCAATGAGAAATGTTGTTTTATTAACTTAAATTGAGTGCTTAACCCTCCGAGCGTCACTCGTCGAAAAATCGACGCACGACACACTTTGTGTAGTGTCACGCGTCGATTTTTCGACGCACGAACATCTTTTACGGCGAAGGCTCTATGACTGACTGAATCGGATTGAACTGGATCGAGTTAGGTATCGTTATTTTCGTTAGATTCTAAGCTTTCTCCAGAGGTCTGTCTCTAAGCGCTTTATGTTCTCCGAGCCGATCTTAATTGTAGCAGACAGCTGACGTGCGTATTTGTAAACAGCTAGGTTACCCTCGGACCGATACTGATGTGTTTTATTACGTTTATCATTGTTTTAGTGTTAAAAATCAAAAGTAGTGATATACGTGGTGCATTATAAGAAGATTTAAGTGATTTTGAAGGGCTGGTTGATGATCCTGAAGAAGTAGGTAGTGATAATGGTGTAAATTATAAGCCAGATTCCTAGCTATGGTTAGGCTATGCATTCTTAGCTAAACGCTATGTACTGAAATATGTTTTTTGCCCATAACTTATTTATTTGCAAATCTACTTCCTTATATTATCATATATTTGTAATCCTCATAACATTTAGAACAAAGTGGCTATTTTCAAATATTTATAGGCCTATAATTTATACAATTTCATTGAGCACAAACTTTTTTTTTTTTTTGAAAATTTTCCAAAATATTTTTTTTACCTAAAAAATTTTTTTGAAACAAATGTTCCTTATGTTTTGTGCATAATATTGAAGCCCATGATTTTCCAAACAAAATGGTATATAGAACAGTAGAATTAACATTGTTTTAAGCTTCTCAGATCCTTTTAATAAAATCTTGCAAATGCGCCAAAAATAGGCGGACATTAAGGCCTAAACTATGGACACTCGGAGGGTTAACTAATAAAAGTGTAATTATTAAAACAATTGTTAATAACTGTTTATATTTGTGTGATAAATTATATGTATTTATTTAACTGATACAAAGTCTTAATGATCGAAAGCACATTTACGCTAAAATCAAAGACACTGCCATGGATTTTTTTTATCTTCTCCGGGAGTTTGTAATGTGTTGAGCTACAGTCGAGAGTTTACTATAGAGTTTACTGAAATAGTGTTTTGTTTTTACGAGTAAGTTCTAACTTGTTTTTTAACTTGTTTTTTTTTTCGGAAAATATCACTTTCCAAATTACTTAAACAGGGCACAGTACAATGGGCTATTTAAAAATATGAGCCACAGATCAAATATCCATTTATACTATAAGTAATATTATTCAAACATTTCAATATAAATATAATTCTTATTGGTGATAATAATAGTAAGACATTTTTGAAGGTTACTTTGTTAACCATTTCAGATCATTGGTGGTTTTGAATGTTATAATCAGTTTTGATAACAATCAACTTAAAATTTAGGTTCCTTAACTCCCAAAATAAATCCAACAAATAATTTTAAAATTTTAGTTTGTATTCTTGCTCAAATTAAACTCGTTTGAAGTATGAATGTAGGATATATATATTTTACTTTTTTGCTATAATTCTAGTTAAACACAAATAATGATAATTAAGTCAATAATTTATTATATCATGTGCTTGTTAAAATAACATTTATTTCCGTAAACCCATAAATTGTATCTCTACTTAGGTTATGACCAGAAGTAATAAAATACAGGGAAATCATTCTTGTAGTGACCATATAAGAGTGGTTAAATTGGGGTACTACTTTGGGTTGTTAAAAAATATTCTTTAACACAGAAGCTAAGAGGAACTGTGGTGTTTTTGTACTTTTAGCAAAGTTCCCCTATTGGGAAGAGGCTATTACGGAAAGGGGCACAGTAATACCTAGACCCGGGACCGATTTACTTTTTCATTTCGATATCCCCAGAGGTCAAAAACACTATTCCTTAAAATATTGATATGTATATGCGTCCCTTAGCACAATAATTTGAGAAATGTTGGTCCGATTTTGATTAAATTTCGCATGAATGTCTAAGACTGGAAATACTCGAATGAGTTCACCAACAAGCAAGATCAGGTCATGGATAGAGTTCTTATTGAGTTTTGAACTTTTTTAAAAAAAGATGTTTTTTTTTAAACTATTTACTCTTAAAACATGAAAATGCCCAATTTGCATTACAACAATTGTATAGAGCTTATAAAAACAAAGAATTTAGTACATTGAAGCGTGGATAAACAATTAAAGGTTGCGGAGAAAATTTAAAAAAAACCACACGATTAGAATTTTTTTAAATTCTTATGAAGAAAAAGTAGACTGTTGTAATTTTCTTGTTTATTGATATTTTTTGTTTAAATTTGGCAAATTTATTGATTTCATACTATATTATTGGCATTATACCTAAAAAAAATTTTTATTCCCTGTGGCCACAAACCTAAGTACTGTACTCTTTAAACCTAAATGTTGTTGAAAAATAGAATAAACTTGTATTGAAAGTAAATATTTCAGTACAAATCTAAATAGACATGAGGGAATTTGCTTAGTCAGTAGGTTTTCTATGGCAGGAACATTTAGAAATGTGGACTTACATCTTTAACCTTTTAAGCAGAGATTTAAACTATTGGGTTTGTGGCATTGTATAAACTTAAATTTTAAATTACAAAATGTCCAGTTCAATTTTGCGAATATTTCGTAAAGTGTTACAACTTTTACAAAAAGTATCATAATGTATAAAAAATCAAGGAATCCCTGTATTTTAAACTTCTGAAATGTGATTTGGCCTAAGATTGAGATTACTAATTCTGTGTTTGCAACTAAAAAATTAGCTCCAAAGTTCAGTTAACCAAGTAGACATCAACTGAACAAGATATAATCACGTATTTCATCTTCTTAGTATTAAGTTCTAGCTCAAACGTAGTTTTTATTAATAAAATTATTTTGTTACCTTACAATTGTTGTTTGATGTTGGTAAACTTTGTGGCAACTGCCACATCCTCAGTTGTTTTTATTATCATCTTATGTTTTAGAAAGATTTGATAACATCCTACAAAACAGTAGTCCAGTCAATTCGTCGTGGAAATCTACCTTACGTTACAAAAAATAACTGTTACGAGTTTTTGCCTTAACTTTATGTTTTTTGGGGCGCTGAATCCGAATCTGAAGAGATCCAACAAAAATTCCTTGTGCGTTTTGAGCTAGACGCAAAAAATATGAAAATTTTCGCACCTTTTTCAGTTTTTTGCTTATAACTTGGAAACTATACATTCTACTAAATTTTACCAAAAGTGAAAATGAAAGATCATGAAATTTCCTACAAAATACATATGTATCATTCTTTATCAAACGCACAATTAGCCCGCTAGAGTGCGCTCCAAAAAGAGAAAAATATCACATTTTTGTAAAAAACACGTTTATTGCCAGATTTTAACATTTATTATTGAAAGTACGTGTTTATTAAAGGTGGACTATGTAAGTAAATTAAGTTTGTTTAAATACTTTACATTCAAGCCCAATTAGTATACAATTAAAAAATATCTAATTTATTTCAGAACAAATAAGAGCAAAGACAATATTTTTTTAGTGACTTTTTCCACTGCAGTGGAAGACCGCTGCTTGGAGTCCCTCAAATGCGGTTGGTGTTCTTCTGTACAATACGGTTCAGTAATATCTTGCTTTTCCTTGTGGTTGGTGCGCTGATAGCTGGGTAGTTATTAATGAAATTATTTTAATGAGTTTAAAGTTATCGGTGGACACTTGAAATTAAAGACACTGATTTAGTTCTTCACTGGTTATGCTGAATTTAATATTTAAAACAAAACAGTACAAAGACAGAAATGATGTTAACAGTTTGGAATACAATACTATTGAATTGAATCGAGAAGAAATAACAAATAAGAAAATAGCTCACTGTATTAAATGAGCGATTTCAATATAAAAAAACTGTCGGAGAACGCTTTAGGCGTCCCTGTCGCGTGAGTTTTGTTTTAAACACTGATTGTTACACTTTAAGCATCTCCAAGCCCTGACGGGCAAGGGAAGGGATATTAGGAAGTTACTTTAATAATATGACGAGAGCTTCCTTGTCTTCGATCCCCAAATTACTTATTCTTATTTGTTTGTTATTCTTCAATTGTTTACCTTATTAAAATTAGGTGTGATTATTTGTTTGTATTACTGTATTCGCTTTTGTTTATTTTAGCTTAAAGTAACCAATCAATAGTTTTATTAATACTTATGATGTAAAACGGGGTGAAGCTCGTGGGTAACAGCTAGTATATATGGTATACACATTTTGGGATAATTGTTTCATAATGTAAAAGGAATGTTACGTGACGTGAGACACATATTAATGAACATTTATGTATTATAAATATCATTCAACATGAGAATTCCCATTTCAAGATTTTGATGGATTCTGTGTTGTCCCCCTGAACTCGGTATTTTCTGCTGTCTACACTGTCTACATGCTGCTCAGAGATTTCGAAGTGAACACCACAAAACCTTTCCATCTCTTTGGTAATGTGAATTATGGATGTGTGCATTTGTAATCATCTAAAGGATATGCTATCAGAAATATTATACATTCTAAATCTACCCTCAATTTTAGTACTTCTCATGAGGAATTGCTCTATTGTTTTGTATATAAAGGTGCCATACCATAGTTTATCAGGATCACGGACTGTGAAGGCGTCTTACAAGTGAAATTGGCGTTTTATATCACAAATATAAAAGGTTTAATTTACCTGTTGCGTCAATTGATCCTTAAGTTATGAAATAACTACGGCCGTTTCGTACTGCTAAACGAGTACATCTTCAGGTTGTCATGAACGTTAAAACACAACTCTCGTGTTCGGACTACTTGGCCAAGTTTTTTAATTGTAAATATTTTAATGTTTCGTATGTGTTCGTGTTATGTGTCCTAAATGTGCTGACGACTCCACCCACGGATGAGAAGGCCGTATTTTAACGTTCATGACAACCTGAAGATGTACTCGTTTAGCAGTACGAAACGGCCGTAGTTATTTCATAACTTAAGGATCAATTGACGCAACAGGTAAATCAAACCTTTTATATTTGCATTACCTTGATCCAGAGGCTAACCCATCATGAAATTTTATATCACGTCAATGTTTGTAAAAAATAAAAAGAGAATATGTTATAATTAGCTGTTTATGTTAAAACTGTGTACGATAATGCTTTCTTATTCAACTTACAGGTAACCAACTATAGGCTACTGTATAGTTGTAAAAATAAATGTCTAACTATGGCACGTGATGTTTAACAGAATATTTGTCCTTTCGTTCATGATAAATTTTAGGTGTTTTTGGTGAAAGTAATTATTTGAGAGTGATTCTTTTGAAGCTAGAATTAAGTTAAATAGATAGGGAAATAAGTTACAGAAGGGAAGATGAGTGGAAATGCTGTACTTTTAATAAAACATGTGAAAATATGGCAAAAAAGTTGTTTACAACAATGTAAAATTTTTCTCTTTTTGGAGCGGGTCCCAATTATTGTCTTTGCTTCTATTTGTTCTGAAATAAATTTCGATATTTTTTTAATTGTACACTAATTGGGGCTTACATGTAAAGTATTTAAACTTAATTTACTTACATAGTCCACCTTCAATAAACGCGTA